TTAGGTGAAAATTATGATATTTAATTGTGTGCTTATAATCTTTCTGAATTGATATTGTTAATAACAGGACGTTAGGGTTTGTATAACTTTTTTACATGTCATTTATTTAAAGGTGAATTTTGGATTTTTTTTAGATGGCGTCAACAAGAGATAGATCTAAAAGCACCAGATGATACAATGCTGTATTCGCTTTGTGCTGGTCGAGGAGAGTTGATAATGTTTGGTGGAATGCGTAGTGATGTGCAAGGTGATAACCCCCATCCATTTACTCATATAATTAATAATGATATTTATATACTGAGTCCTGCTCGTTTAGTATAAGGCGTTACTATGGTTTTTTTTTTTTTTCTCATATCGTTAGCCGAGCTGTTCAATCAGTAACAGTCTTTCATGTTAAAGATTACTGATATGCCTTATTGTGTACACTGTTTGTTATTAGCTTCTAATTTTTATATGTTCACCGTTGCATCAGTATCATTTTGTGCTTCTCTTCACAATCGAGAAGACATTGGCAATGATTTTTATCCTTATGTTATACTTATTACTTAGTATAACTTGACCTAGGATAATTTTAGTACGTGTAGTATGAGGTGGTCATATTCTTTACTTCAGTAGTGTTATTTTTTCATTACTGATATTCATTTTTAAATTATCATTTCTACAATTCCCTGAATATACATTCACTGGATGTTTTATCTACTGTTATGCTTTATTAGGATCAAATTATTGCTGTGTCCTAAAGTATTCTTTTCTTTTCCAAAGGGAGGAGAAGAAAATCCATGAGTTTTAGAGTGTAAGCTTGAAGATAACGATTAATGGAAAATAGTTGTTAAAAAGATTCTGAAATGTTTTAAACGAATTAGGTACATGTACTATTTTATCGTAAGCTTGTTGCTGTTTCATAGTTTCAGAATGACTATTACTAATTTTTTATGTTATCTTGAAATCGAATTCTCATGATTTTAATTCACCTTTTTTCACGTGCAAATGTAATAAAATTAATTTATTGTTTTCTCTAGAACATCTTCTGCATTTCTCGGAGCGACTCATCTGTACTTTGAAAAACTTTTCACTTTTCAGTAGCGGCTTTAAAGAAAAGGTGAGAATTTCCAGACCAACTTTTTCGACGTGGACATTGATACCATAGGAAGCTTTCAAGGTCTTGTTATTATGTGTTAATGAAACTTGATCTGGTCATTTTTCCTTTTGGAAAGTTCTAAGATTAGAATTGAGTTTTTTAACGGGATGATCCTAGAGCTACATTCTACTGCTGAATTAGTGAAACAAATTATTGTAGAAAACGAGGATATACAAACGATCAAGTGTTAAATAAAAGTAGATCGAATTGTAAAATTAGTCCTTTCAGCTCATACAATAGAATTGAACCATTGAAGAAATTGAAATTCAATATAAAGGGAGTGAATGGGATAGTTGTCACTCTGAATGTTGTAAGTTGAGTCTACTGCAGCTGCATGGTTGACTCAAGACATGCATATAAGGAATACGGATGTATTTTGAATCCTAAGCTTTTATAGTAATAACGTAATTTTCATAACGTAATTGTAAATGGTAAATCGAATATTTTAATTTCGTTGAGTGCTTCCTTTTCAAAAACCCTTTGTAAAACAAAATGCAAATATTGATAGAACTCGAAGAATTGATCAAAGATCTGCTGCTACTTTTATCATTCAACATGGTTTGTGTTTCTCAGAATTTGCCAACTTTTTATTTTTAGCTCCAAAAAGCTACCACAATCGATTTAAATTTATCAATTTTTTGAATAAAAATGCCTGTTATGTTGGAACAACATTTCGTTGATCCGGTAATGTAATCTCAAATTTTATTGCATGCATCTTTATTGACCAAGCTCTTTTTATTGTCTTTTAGCATGTTCTGTATTCTTTAAGCTAAGTGATATTTCAGACGGATGCACTAAAAATATGTGAGATAGCGGCAGATCTAAAAGACGAATTGGAGCGATTTCGGTTCAGTAGAAAGCGCTCAACAAATGCCTTGATATGTGCATTTTTCTTCTATTTAATAAAATTTTCTTGATCTGAAACTGACAGTTTGAGTTGATATTAACAGATCTAAATATGTTTTAAACTTTGAATGCAAATTTTGCTTTTTGTAACAAAGTTGACGATAATTTAGATTTGATACACCATATTACACACTTTCCTCAATGTTTTTGCTTTGACTGTGCAGTTAATTTGCAGTGAAGATTGATCCGGTGAAACAGCTCATTATATTGGATCAAAAGCTTGAGGTACTTTTTTTTTCCACTGAATGACTGTTCAGAAACTAGTGTCTTCAAGTTGGCGTCAGAATTTTGGAGTATTTGCTACTACGGCACAAATTTTCTAGGATTGTGATCCAGATATGATTTGTGATGAATTACCTGTGCAACAGCCGCGGTATATTGTAATAAGCTACGAACGTGTACATGACGATGGCCGTCTTTCATATCCACTATCTCTTGTCTTCTATAGTCCGTCAGGTTTGTTTGATCTTTGATAAAAAAAATTACGAGTAGCCGGAAAGAAATAGTCACTTCATATGACGTGTTTAGTTTTTTTTTTTTTTTGATGAAGATGCATGTTTAGTCCATTCTAAAATATGCTTAACGAGCAGTTCGCAGATCTTAATTAATTGTTATTGAAACTTTCCAGGATGTAAGCCACAATTGCGAATGATGTATGCTGGTAGTAGAAACAATTTGGCGAGAAAATGTGAACTGAATAGGGTATTTGTCTCCTAGAATTAATTTTTTTTTGGTTAAATTCTTCAAGCGCTGTTATATCTGGTAATAAATACATTTTAATATCACTCTATAAGTAATTATGCACATGATTTACTCGGCCCAGAACAGCATTTTAGATTTGGTTGGACAAGGAATAGTAGTATGTTTGGATAAATGCAGTAGTTGTTTTCTAGATTTTTATGCAGCCTAATTTCCAAACTTTTTTCTTAAGTAGATGCATTAAAAAATGATATCAGGAATCTGAGGATTTTTTTTCCGTTACTGAAAATTCTGTTTTTCATTCTGTTTTTTAAAGTTTTTTAACCATACGAAGTATTTACCTATTTATTTTTTATCTTATAGGTTCTTTTTTGAAGTAATAAGTTAACTTTCTGATTTTACTTTCTTTAATTTAGCTATGATACAGCTAGGCATTAAAAAATCAAGAAAAGGACTTCACTATGCAATACTTTGTCAGAACCATTGGACATATAGGATCTTTAATAAATAACTATCATAAATAATAAATATATAGGATCTTTCACAGTCTTTTTGTTTTTGTATTTTTACCACTTCAGTATTTAACTGGAAGTGATAAAAATATTTATTAATTACAGTTCTTATACTGACATGAGCTAAATTTTCAAGTCGTTTTTTAAAATCTGCTCTACCAAAATTTGAGAATTTGTCCTGACAAAAATTTTTTTTTTATGCAGAACTGTTTCTTTTTTCAGAACCTAGAAATTCGAGAACCAGACGAACTAACAAGGGAGTTATTGGAACTAAAGCTGTAGATACAATCTTTAATCCTTCAAATTAGCCTCATTCTGTTTTTTAAAGTTTTTTAACCATACGAAGTATTTACCCATTTATTTTTTATCTTATAGGTTCTTTTTTGAAGTAATAAGTTAACTTTCTGATTTTACTTTCTTTAATTTAGCTATGATACAGCCAGGCATTAAAAATTCAAGAAAAGGACTTCACTATGCAATACTTTGTCAGAACCATTCCTTCTGGTTCCTACTGTGTCCTTTATTATTTAGTCCAGAAAAAAAATGTTGAAGTGCTATCCATTCTCGTGAATTACTCGATGTTAGAAGTTTGCTGTTATTTTTTTATGCTTTTATGCTTTCCTGTAAGCATCATTTCTGTTTAAGAAGCTATGCTGATAAAAACATATTTTTTGAATGATGGACTTAGAACAAAGATTTATTATCGTCTACCAAGAAGATCAAATTTGTTTGATCAGTGGACAAAGTTTTGTACATTAGAGAGTATTTGATATGTGATAAAAGCACCATTCATTCTCATTTGATGACAATATTTGCTCATTGTTACTACAGTAGCAATATTGCTAACAAATGGAATCTGAGTCACAAACAATGCTAGCCTGCAATTTATTGGTACTTGCACAGCTATTGCTACAAATTATTGGTGCTGCATCACGTGGGGTATAAAGTATCGGTAGTTTGATACATAAAGTTGTGTTATGCTGCATTTGTTGTTGTTTGTTGTTAGCAACTCCATTTTCTGATCATTTCTTCTTTGATTTGAGCTAAAAATGTTTTAGCATTCAACTATCCCTTATATGTGTACGGAAAATAAAAGAAATGACGAAGCAATTGGAAGTGATTCTGTTGGAATGAAGTACCGTTTTTTGGAATGATTTGGGTCGTTCACTGATAAGGGTACAACCATATTTCATTCAAAGATGTTTATTAGAGAAAATATACCGTGTCATTACGATTTTGACCTAGAAAACTGTTCTTAAAAATTTATGAAACTAATGTGGGACACACCATATGGGTAAATGGGACTGGAAACTGGGCTCGTCTGAGTATGTCAGATTTGTCGACAGTCGTCCCACATTTTTTCATCATTTTGCCTCGTCAAAATGACAGCTGCTTCAACTTTTTTAGAATTTTGCTAACATTGCTGTGATCATCTCATTCAAACTTGAAATTTGAAGTTTTCTTCTGAAATATAGAAGAATTCATTTGTAAGGAACATAATTTTGCCGTCTCACGAAAGAGTAAATTGAGAAAGAAATTAAGCTATCGTGCACATCTATCTAAACCTTCTTCTAAACCAGTCAGTAGATTTAGCAAGTGACCCTTCGGGTGTACATATTCCAGAAATGAGATGAAGGCAAAATAAATAATGCTCAATGATCTCTTGAAAGCTGTGATAAACCAAGGATAACCCGAAATTATTTGGAATATGTATGCACACAATTCACTTCTTTCCAGATATACACATGTCTCGACCATGGATATTATTTATCGCAATCATCTTATTCAGCCCTACTACCGTTGGTATAGGTGAGAATAAATCCAACTTTATTTAAATTTGTATAACGGGAATTACATTCCCTACTTTTTACTAATATTTCATCGTAAATCGAGTACACTATGCTCTATTCTTTTTCATTGCTGTCTTTTCGCATTCACTCATTTCCATTAAAAATCAAATCTAAATTTTGTTTTAAGTAAATCAATATATAACTCATTATGATTTGACGAAAGATGGGAAAGTTGACAGACGAGAACTGAGGACAGTAGCATATATGGACCACAAGCTTCCACCGACAATCAGCGATGTAATATCTTGATCATTCTTAGATAAACAAAAGTTATCTTCATTTCCAAGGAATCTCAATTTTCTCACTACTCATTATTACCTTTATATTTTTAGAAAGCAATTTTATGGTTTCTTTTTTATAACTCATCTACTTAGAACTTAGAATAGAACGAGTTCAGGCTCATTTCTTTGGCACTTTTAAATCCTCCTTTCTTTAGGATATATTCCGAAAAGCGGATCGAAATGGCGATAAGTTCATTGATCACACCGAAATTATTGCAGCCGCTAGATTAGTTCAAAGACACGTTGCACTAGCCACTTTACGTTGGCTAGAGGTGATTTTTTTTTTTAATTGAAGGTAATCCAAGGTAGAAGTTTGTTTTGATTTTTTGAAAAACATACCAAATGCTGTTCAACTTAGAATTCATGAATATGGTATCAAATCTGTGGATGTCTAACAGATATTTTGCACTGATTCTCATTTGTTAAACATTCAGGATCACGATACAGATGGTGATGGTCTACTGAGCGAAGTGGAACTATTCGAATCTATTTACATGGAGCTTGGTTTGTCAATAAAAGATGTAAAAAGTTGTTTTCGGGAAAGTGATGTCAATAATGATAAATATTTGACATCCAGTGAATTGGTTGAAACACTTCACTGTAGTAGATTATTAGCGCAGAAAGAAGCAAAAGAATTGCTGAAGGTTTGTCGATTAGATTATGTTGATGGTATCTCCAAAATAGAACCTACAAGAGGCAGATATAGAACAAATTTCTATAGATAAAAGATTTTCAAAGTATGAAAAAATAACTTATGAGTTATGAAAGATAATTTATCTCGAACTTTTAACTCAACTAAACAAACAATTCCTGAGCAAAAAGAGGTTGTCCTAACTGGAATCAATGCTGAAAAAAAAAAACTCTCATGACTAACTAGTCTTTCTTATCTAATTCGTTTAAAATGTTTCTCGACAGCTGTGCAAATTTGAAAAGATTGCGCAGTAGTTTCATAAATATTCAAATTCACCATTTCTTACTTTGATTCAGATCTATGACACTGATGGAGACCATCGACTGAATATTCGAGAAGCGCAGATGTTGGCCGACTTACGTTACGATATTGAACCCGGCTATGCAACAACTGTTTTTGAGAATGTCAGCCATCGAACTGATCACACGGTTGTCTTTTCAAATTTTAACTGAAACTTGCAAAAATTTTGACCAGAAACTTGATGTGCTCCAGATAACTGAAAATTCGAAACATATAAAAATGACATGTTACACATGCTGTTATCAACAACTATTTTCAGATAAATGAATTAGAATTAATCGATTTTCTCACTAAATTACGAGAACAAGCTGCTGTTGCTGCGTTGAACAAACTATCTGTTAGTTTTTCTACTCCAATCAGGCTTACTGATAATGAGATAAGTATTTCTTTTCGGTATCATTTGAATTGAGGGTAACTCCTAGGAAATATCAAGAAATATAAAGAAAATTGACGTCAAGAAATTATTTAACATTTCTCTACAACTGATTTAAAATTCATGTTAGGAATATTAAGTTTGCTTATTTTGGCCACTAAAAGTAGGTTATTCAGAGTATCGACCAGAATGGTGATGAAGCAATATCGTTCAGTGAATTATTGCAAGGATATGAGAAGCAATTAAAAAAATCTACTTTAAAAAAGATTTTCGGCAAAGTGGACGTCAATAAGGTAGTTTTGAATAATAATAAAATTAAGATGGAAGAGTGAATTTTCAAACGGATTTATTCCTAGTGAAAATTTTCCTAATTGTTTTCCTTCATGAAGCATTTATTTCAGAATGCTCACATCGATCCAATCGAATTTGTATCGTTGCAAAACTTAATTGCTGATGAAATTCGTCTTCAAACGATACAAAATAATTTTGAACAACAATATTCTACAACTGTAAATGCCACAACATCTCTTCCAACTTTGATCATTTTCAGGCTGCCTAAAAAAACGTATAATCAGCAACCAACCAGGCAAAGAAAACGCCGTTCAGGTCATATTGTCTTGCTCGTAGCTGACTTCATTCTTTTGTTATCATGAAAACTTTTTTTTTTTTTTGAAGAGTAGCTTCTTTTTAAGATTATCCAAGAAAGCATTTCTTACTACTCGTACTTACCTTTTTTGTATAAGATCAGGACTAATCATAATTTTAACACCTTCAGATCAGGAATCCGACAAGAAGCTAATGGTTAGCGATCAGTCACATCCAAGTATCAAAGAACTTACTGCAATTAACGCAAGTAGTATTTATTTCAGTACAATAGTTACCTCAGTACCGAAATTTATAAAATCCAAAAAAGAATATCAAAAATTTCCTTCCAGTGGAGCCAAATCGATTTCCGAAATGTTTTCTAATAGCAAAAGACCAGAATACAGAGATGTGATTAAAACCGATAACATCAAAAAAAGTAAAGAATATTCGGTTTCTGTTGAGAATACCTCACCGCTTATACGAACAATGGTGCAGAGAGATCGTAAATTTACATCAGCTAAAAATGAAGATCAACTGAAAGCCAATTCAATCAGAATCGATGAGAATGGTGTTCGAAATGAGAATAAAGTATTTATTAACAGTCCAAATGTTGCCTATATCAAAAAATTTGAGAAATTTTTTAATTTCCTGCAAAATAGCATCAAAAAGATATCCAAAGCAGTTAAAAAAAACAATGAAAAACAAAAAGAAGATTTGAAAAGTCCTCTTAGAGGCATCAATATTACTAAGCATTGGAGTCAGACTGCGGACAACACCTCAAATACTGAAGCAAATGAGACCAAAAAAATAGCAAATGTTCCCGAAAATTCGATTTCGACTCTGACAACTACTACAAAGTTGAAAATTCAGAGAGATCTGGACGATGCTATTTACGGAAAGATCAGAAATGAAAAAGATTTTGTCGTTCATACGCCTATTGACTCTTCAAAATATAAAATAGCAGCAGCAAAAAAATTTAGTGGATTGTTTGATGCACCCTTTTTGCAATTTGACGAAAAAGGAACTGGAAAAAAGGTAAAAATGATAAATTATCAAAGTAACGGTTCACTTGATAGACGCAATTTTCACAATGCAGTAGAAAAGAAACAAAAGCTGGAAGATATGGATGAAGATGGCTGCTTATTAAACAATCAGACGGATTCTTTTGATTCGGAGGATTCTTCGGAACACTCGGTGAAACGACTTAAGTGCAATATACAAGCACAAACATCAAATGGAACTAGTAGTACTACACCGCTTCAGAAAGTTAAAAGAGCAAAATTATCTCCCGAATCTAAGGAGGAATCCAGAAATCAAAAGAAACAAGACAAACCTTCGAATATAACTGATTCATTGGAATATGAAATAATAACTGTCAGCCATAAGGTATCTGTCGATGATGAATCTGTTAAAGTTATTCCTGATTCTGAAGACGATGAAGAATTTAATGAAGGAATCTCTGCAAAACGCATAAATTCCAATCAGTCAAAGCACGAATTCACAAACAAACATGATAAATTCACTTTTCAACCTCTTCACTCTCAATTGACGGAGAATCATAAGAAACAAATTCATTATGGATCAGATTTTACAGGGCTTGAAAAAATCACTGCCAAAACAAAAAGGAAAAAGTTATCATCAAACAAAGCAGAGTACCTGGAAGGAAACAAGTCAGTGAATGAGTTCAGGCTGATAGGTAACGAGTCTAATGAGTATAAAATTCTGGAAGCGAATTCAATGTTTTCCATAGAAGAAAATGTCACTAACAAACACGACCAAGAGGTATATTCACGGTCACAAATAACTGATTTCCAGCTCACAAAATCACAAAACTCGTCTTCCGAACAAGAGCAATTGCAAGTTATAAATACCAAATATGAAACAAATAATAGTAAGGAAAATGAATTTTTTGATAAAGTTTTAAGTGGTATGTTGAATGCAACGTTTTCGGCAATGGATCAAACATTTAAAGCTATGAAGTCCGAAAATCAGGGGAAAAAAGATTTTCAAAAAATCACGAAATCCTTACTCAAATTAAAAAAAAACGATACGACTTCGCAAATCTCACAAACTTCTGTAACCTCATCTACAGCTCCGAAAATACCTGTAACTTTACCATCATCTCCGAAAACATCCACTTCAGCAACAATAAATTCTAATTTCTCAACACATACAACAATAATGGAATCAAACTCAAAAAGAGCTGTTGAAATTGAGTCTGACAAAATAAATCAAACATCCACAGCGATGGGTATGATGGCACACCCTGCAGCAGATTCGAAGGATAATAAAGATACACATGAATCAAGTGTTGCAAACACAGGAACTGTAAAAGATTTTGCTGAATTTATTCCTAATATGGAAAGAAATGGGAAAAGTGAAGCTGGAGAACAACATATTGAGGAAGTTCGACTGCTTCAGCAGAAGCGCAAAAAGTGCTCACATTATCGCCATGGCTCTCAAAGGAAATGTCCTAATATGGATAATATCTCAGCTGAAGATAAGGCTGCAAAAATAAATACAACGCAAGTTTTAAGTTTTTTAAGGATTGATATTTTGATGATAATTTGCTAAATTGCTCTCAGAAATTTTGTATCAAGGATTTCTAATACAATTTCTTTTGAGATTATTTAAAACTTTTTGATTATCCTTAGTTCCTGAGTGTTTTTTTTTTTTTTTTTTTTGAGAAGCAAGCGATATGTATCGATTTGTGCGACCTCTTAAGAACGCCTAGAAATTTTGTAGTTATTGTAATTGGATCTGCAAAATATAGATAGCGTGAAGTTCATTCAGGTCAATGACGCATATCACTAACTTGTAATCAGTCAAAGGTAATGTGACACTAAAGTGATCTTTTGTCCTCACTGACCCCACTTTCAGAGGTGTGATCTGTAACAAGAAAAGATTATTGTACGAATGTCGATTGAAAAAGAAGTACCGATACAAAATATGCTCAAACAATCAAAGATGTACCTGTAAGGATATTGCAAGCTTAGCACGATTTACCTTAAAAAATTTTTTAACATTACAGGAAGTAAAATTAAGGTTTAAAGAAAGTTATAATTTTGATCAATAATTATGATCTTCACTTAGAATTCTGCCTTTATTTCTTGTTCAATGAACTTAATGAGAATAAATTTCTCTCGAAAAACACAGATTAATATTTTAAAATTTCTTCATTTCTAGCGTGGTCTTAATTTTCTTTTTTGATCTGACTGTCTTTTTATAACATACTCTATTTCTAGTTTTGAGTCATTCAAAAGAAACTTCAGAAAATATCGATTTTCCCACGCAAGATTTCTCTCAGAAAAATAAGACAGTAAGTTCCATGGCCTGATTTTCTTCTTGTTAGTTAGACAGAAGTTCACCGAAGTTATAGGATGTGATTAAAGCGATTTTTTTGGAAATCACTTCAAAGCTTGAAAACAAACGAAACAAGTCAATTACAGGTGAGAGATTGGCGAAGGGAAAAGACTGAAGATTTGTTGCTTCGAGCAGTACAGGAGTATCAAGCATCTCTCAGAAATCAGGAAAAAGGAATGGAAAATTAATGTTTCCTTCCAAAAGCTCTTAAAATTAAAAATTATTCTAAATAAAGTGAAAAGTAACTTTCGTGTCATTGGGTTATTATGGAAGTCTTTCGTTATTCAGCATGTTGTATTTCTTTGGACAATATCTTGAAAAATTGAACTTAAGTTACCCACGAAATCAAATCTAAGTATACGGATCTCTTATAATAGTTTAGCTGTTAAACACTGTAACCGACCACTACGAGTGAATCTGCCATCGCATATGAATTGGTAAGAAATCTTAGAGGCTTGTTTGTTCACACCAGAATTGAACGACAATACTCATCATCTACAGCTGTTGAATTTCTGTGGCACATCAAAGAGATCTTGAAAAGAGGAGTGTAACAGAAAGCGAATATGCCCAATCTGATATTACTTCCTTTGTTGTTTGTTCTTTTATATCAAATCTTTCCTATTTATAGTGTTATGATAATCAATAAATAGCTGTTGTCTGTCAATCCGCAGAGTTTGAGGAAGCCCGGGAAAAAGAATCGGGCCGCGAAGGAATTACTTGCTTGAGAAAGCCCGAAGGGAAAATTGTTGCTGTGACCAATAGTGTCTACGTGACTTTTTGTTTCATTGGACAGTGTGGAACATTGATTTTTAGAGAAGTCGCGTAAACATAAAATAATGGGTGGGTAAGAATGACAGCGAGGTTTTTGCCTTCACATTTTTCACTATTTTGGAAAATTTAGTAAATTAATTGTTCACGGCAAACACAAAGTCACTTTTCAGTAAAATCTGTGAGTTCCCATAGCAAAATAATCATATTCCACAATCAAACTATGTCGCTTCCTAAGGGAAGGGGAAGTTAGACTAATGTCATGCAATTAACTCTCATTTAAGAGTGTTAGGGGTACAATAGCACCAGTAGGAGAACAAGTAAATATATGGTATCGTCTGATTGCGATGGATATTGTCAGATAGATGTTGTCACTCATATGCTTATCGGTGCATTTATTGGTGATGTATGTTAACAACTTCGAATTATAAGGAGAGAAGATGTTTAATTCCATGTTTAAATATTACAGGCTTTGTTCCTTTCAGGCAATTCGATTACTGATGTCAACCAAACCAAGTGAGACAGCAGTTCTACGGCCGTCACTTAAGAGACAGTCAACACAGGCTCAAGCTCGATCTAAAGAATCAGATGATAAGCGAGTATGTCTTTAACTCTGATTAGTTTTTTTGACCATTCTTTGATTAATCTATGTAAGTTGATTTTAAAAAATGATACTGCCATCTTTTGATGAAAACATATAGATGTGCTGTTAAAATTCGCTTTTCGAAAATAATCACTCTTTCTTGATTTTCTTGGCTCTGCATATATTTTTCAGATATAACATCATTTTGAAATTCCCCTCGAATTTCTAATGAAGGATAGTTCATTTCCACGAAGGATATGGGGGAATAAGTATTACGGGCAAATTTTTTTTGTCCAAAAAAGCCTAGCAGTTTTGAATGAGCTCATGTGCATGAATAATAAGAAGTCTTTACGAATGGGTTACTTCTAACTGAAAAAATGTATGTATACTGCAGCATGTTACTTTCGCAACTCCGAAATTACCATCCTTCAAATGCAATCTACCAAAACAACAACAAACTTTTAATCAAAGTATTTCAAAGGTATGTTTTTTCAGGAAATTGTTCTTTCTATTTTATAGCATGTTTCATTCTGTTGTACCTCTCATTCATTTTAAAGATCATCACAAATTATCACCTTGAGTTGACTGTTCCAAAATAATTAAGTACAATATATGCAATTGCTCATGTAAAAAAAAAAATTCTATTTTTTGAAGCCGCAGAAACAAAAGTCAGTTGTTGATGTGCACAGAAAACGCATTCCTTCAGTGCAGCTTGCAGAGCTTCGTGCGAAGAAAAACAGACACAACGAACAAATTGTACGTTTATGTGAGGTATCAGATTAATAATGTACTTTTTTCTTTTTTATGTGTAATTTTAAAGTTATTTAAATTCGTTCCCATTATGGCTTACTAATCAATAAAAGAGTCACTTCCTCCCAAGGTTATTCCTTAGCGTTATAAATACAAAAAAAAAAAAAAAAAAGAAAAACTCTGAAAAGTTGTCTGTAATGCATCGAAATGTGAGTTGAGGTTCTCATTTTAATATTTAAAATCTGTTGTAAAATAGCACTGTTAATTCCCCACCACAATATGAAGCGGAGCAAAAATGGAATATGTAAGCTTATTCTAACTTGATTTTCAAAAAGTTTTTTTTTCACTTAAGCATATGGTTTTTTGCGCACTTTCAAACAACTTTTGTTAACAAAGTAAAATTTAGCTTCTTTTTTGATTTCATTCACGTTCCGAGCTCTTTACTTATAAAAGAGTAAAGCATGAGCATAATTTTCATTGTTCGAGCGGTTTCAGATTTCAAAACTTTTTTAATTTGAGGCTCAAGAAGCACTTGTCAGATTAGATTATGTTATCAGACGTTTGGGAAGGGAAGCAAAAGAACAAGAGGCAGGTGCTACAACACTGTTGCAGAGTGCGATATCGCTAATTGAAATTGATGTATTGCGCAGTTTCGAAAAGCAAAGAATCGGGGTAATTTCAGCCATTGTAAGGAACTTAAAGACAGCATAATGGCAATTCAACTCGGTAATTTGAGATCTGTGATAATATGTAAGCACATTTCAAGTGCTTGCATAGGTTATAGATTCCTGTTGGCTATCGTTTATCTCCTGTTTTGTTTTTTGGAGTAGGCTTGAGATGTGTTTTTCTAAAACTGAGTAAGAACACATTTCGAGAAGAATATTCAAGGTTCAAAATGTAAAGTATTATATTTTTAATTATTAATGTTGCTGCACTGTTTCATAAATCATTTTATATTTACATCCATCGAAAGTTTTTGCAAAATTTTCATTTAATATTTTTCATATGTTTCCGGTGATAAAAATATTTCTCCATTTCATAATTTCTGCTTTTCAGGATTTGTTAGACACTGTTGAACAACAGCAACATAAAGTCGTGCAGGAATTGCGTGAGGAGTTTGTTGGATTTAACGAAAAAATAGCTGGTATTGGAAAAGTAATTGCTTTACTCGGCTGTCCAATTTCTTTTTGTAAAGATCTGTTTTGTTTATCTAATAATTGCTAAAATATCTCTTACAAAGTGAACTAATTAGGCTAAAATTTTCTGGTGTTTTCTACTTATAAAACTTTCCGACTGTGGAAGGAGGAAATCAAATTTCCATAAATGAAAAATTGTTGGGATTTCTTTCTATTTATCCTCTCAGGCTGAAATTTTCTGGTGCTTTCTACAGTTAGGTTGTAAATGGTGATTTCAGATGTTGGTAGCAGTTAAAAAATATAATGAAATGCTTGATATGCAGTTTGCATCCGCAGAAAATGAAGGAGGCTTGTCGGTGGCTGAAGAAATGAAGTTGTTGAGTGCTGATGTCAGATTGTATCTTGATATTCTCGATTCTTTGCAGAAATTTCATTTGTAACTGTTTTTGAATGCTTATTTTTACCAAATGATCTGATAATTTGACTAAGTTCTGCATGAGTCTTTGAATGTGTAATTTTGATTTGAACTGAATTTATATATGAAAAGCATAAAGAAGTTACTTCCTTTAGAATATATAATAGAAAATGAATGTGCAAGGAAAAAATTTAAAATGTTCTCGATATTTTGCAAATTTGATGAACGGGAGGTGTAGATAGAGTAAAGGACGTCTTGTTCTTGCAAAGAGAAAGGGACTAAAATTAGGGGAATGTAGAATTCGACTGGAAGACTTTTATTTCAAATGGTAATTAAAATGTTTTTGGTACTCATAATGTTCAAACGCATAAACTGCATAAGTATGTAAAATGCAGATTTTGGAGGTATCTAGTTGCGCAGTCTCAATCTTTAGTGTTTTACTAAGAAGTTCAAGGAAATTCTGGACTCTACTATATTTTTTACTAAATCAAACAAATTATTTCAGTAATGAATGGTTGAAATTGTTCATTTGATTTATCTTCATTTGGTTTATTAATTTAATATACCAATACTTTGATAAATGTGCTTTTTTGGTTTATATGTTCTACATTCTACATCTTTAAAAAGTTTCAAAACCTTGGATGATAATGTATTTCAGAGCAAAAAATACAGATATAAATCACAAACATAATTCACACAAATCTAATAAAGTTAAACTGACCTCAGCAGAGTTAAAGTGGACATTCGGCATATGTTGGGCGGCAGAATAAAATATGGCAGAATACATTAGAACAATTTTAGGGAGCTGACTTGTTTCTAAATTCATAAGGATACAGCTACAAGATTTGGGTATTAATTCAGAGTCCAGCCCAATGACTGAGGTAATGAGGAGATTTTTCGCAACTACTGGAAGCAAGGGCATGAATTCCATATATCCATGATTTACTCTCCCATCATATGTAACTAAGATCTTTGCAACAAAGATTGAAAAGCGATGAAGGAGAGCCAAGCATTGAGATTTGAAGTATCTTTTCAAATGAAATAACTGTACTACCATTAAGATATAGCTACCATATTCCTGTGTTCTACAGCTGGCTTTCCGTATAATTGTAAAGGAGTAACAACATTCATATCTTATTACAACTTTGAATAGGTTAAAGCAAAGGAAGATATGCGTTTGGAATATCTGATCTAGCATAAGAAATCAATAATGCGCTTTTTTATTTTCAGGCTTAAGATTTTACTTGCTCAGTGCTGTACTAAATGTATTTTGGATGTCCTCCTCAAAAATGGGTTTATGAGTTGTATATATATCTGATCACTATATGCCTTATAAGAAGAACTCACAAATTCACCTGGATAATCGTAATATATGCGAATATTTATGTAATAAAACCGGACAGCCATAACAACAGAAACACACACGATAAATATAAAATGAAAACGAGAATGCTCAGTTTATATAGTCACGATATTCCCGTCATCACAGGAATACAATATATCTAAACTTCACAAAAAAGTGTGTGATAAAAAATT